TTGGAAGAAGACTGCATCTAATTCTTCTGCAGATCACGCAGTAACCCACCAGGGTGGGCACCTACAGACTAATCCACCCAGAGGAGCTTCTCTTCCTCCTTCCCATGATTCTTCATTACTGGCTGAGGTTTTGCAAGAGACCGTCGGTAAGCGAGGTATGAAAACACAGCCCTCATGTAACAGCCCAGAGCCTAGCACAGCTTGGCTTTGACTGCTGTACGGACCGCTCCTGCAGGAGGGTTAACCAGACTCCTTTCAAACATTTTATCTCGGGGATGCTGCATTTTCATTTATTTCTCCACCCGGCACCCCTCAGCTATTTTTTCCTTAGAGAGCAGGTAAATACCCTGGTTTTCTTCCCTGTTGGCTTTTAAAACGTGAATGAGCTGAAGAAACAGGCTGGGAAGCAGAACCAGAAAAGTGAGTGACTGAGTGGAAGCGATACACACGCTGATTGCAACCAGGCTCTCCACCCAAGTGAAAAAATAACTCCCTCCCCCAAGGAGACATTTTAAAAGATGAAAGTTAAGAACTTAAGTACAAAGGCTTTTGTGTTTTTATTGACATTGTAAGAAACATTTTTTTTTCTTTGTTACAAAAGAGCTAAGTGGTTCTGAAAGCAGAAGTACAGTTTATATGTACACAGTGCTACAGACCCTTCAGATCAACCTAAGGCTCGAGAAAACATCAGATCATAACTGCAAGTTTATCAAATGAAGACCACTAAGGCCCGTTACAGCCGAACACTATTCCTACCATACGTAAATGTATTTACACATTTTCTTCTTTTTTTTTTAAAAAAAAAGGATTACAAGTTTTATAAAAAAAACCTAAAAAAATTTTGGAAAAAAAAAAAAAAAAAAAAAAAGAACACATTACACATCTGCAGGACTGACAACAGTAACTGCTCCATAGGAGACATTCCACCAATCCAAGGACAACAACACGTGAATACCAGAGGTTTACAAGACGTTTCGGACACTATTTACAGTGGTATGTGCTATTAGCTGAATGGCGAGTACAGCCTCATTGGGAAAATTTGGCAACACATCTTGGTCCCTCTCTTTTACAGGATCAACACAAAATAAGGCACATACATTGCGAGAATATAAACACTGCTGTTCAGAAGGACGAGCCATTGCGCAACAGGCGTGGGCGAGCCGACCAGCCGTTTCATCAAGGGGTGGGGGGAAGCAATGACTGGAAGCGAGCGAGCCAGCCAGCATCTTAATGCACATACCTTTTGGGACCATTCTCCAAGGAGAGAATAACATCGTCTGCCGCGTGGATGGATGGGGCCATCGTACTCACCAGCAAAGCACCTCTGGAAGCCCACCAACTTTGCTGCAAAAACACCTTTTCTCCATCCGGCTGTACCTGACGGATGAACCCTCAGTGGTGACTCCTACTTTGTGGAAAGTAAAACCGCCTGGAGAAATAAGTGTGCTCCACACTGCACGAGGTGCACACACCCAAGGCCGGCAGTAACAAATCTCAAAGACCCCCATAGAGCCCTTAGAAGAAAAGGTGATTTAGACTCAGGCTGCTATGCTTTAAAAATAGGAAATTCACAATATTTTCTGCATTTTCTAGTACTCTAGGGTGAGCGGTGGGTTCCAACTGCTATGGCAATGCCAGCTGATGCGCCAGGTACACAAAAGCAAGTGCTGGCTTCGTAACTGGAAGAGCAGGAGTAGAGGGGTGCCAGTATACATGAGCATTGGTGGTGGGGCTTTCCCCAGACTGCCACACCTTGAGAAGGAGGTTGACAAGTGAAAGCTGGTGCCCAGCCTAACAGTGCCATGCTCAGAGAGCCCAGACTACTGTATTGAAACAAAACCAAACCCCAAGAGAGCTGGGCTACGATGTATTGCTACCCTCACAGGTACCAAAATGGGCTCTTCACCAGATACCAGAAAAGCATGAGGAGATACTAAAAGCTGAAAAGTGACACATGAACATAAGTGGCACATACGCTTGACAGTAAGAATGATAAATCATTTGCACAAACTCCCTGCGGACACAGTGGAGTCTCTGGTTTTTCAGCTTTGCCAAGTCAAAACAGGAGGTCTTTCTGAAGCACGTGGTTTTGGCCAAGATACATTGTTGGCCCAAGACAAGGGTAAGTGAGTGACAAAGGTTTGTCAAATCCAGGAAGGCAAATTAGCTACTCAAACAGTCCCTTTGAGCCTGGAGCAATATGAATAGCTCCTTCTAAACTCTGATGGATCACATCTGTTAATAGCTTCCCAGCTTCAATTGGACCAGCAAATACAATTATGAACTGGAAAACTGAGTTTAAAAAAATAGTTTGGGGTTGGTTTTTTTTTTTTTTTTTTTAATGTATTGGCTCTATAACAATAAGTCTTCTCTCCCAAGCCACCTACTCCCAAGCTGGTCATAAGCCTCCCTGTTGAAATTGTTTATAAACATGTAATTGATGGCTTAATAAACAGCCAGCAATTGGTTACTGAGAACCATCTGAAACATGGCCAGCACAGCCCTTCCTCATGCACACGCCGCTGTTTCTCTGCAGGGCTGCGAGCTGTATCATAGCGCTGCAATGTACAGCGCAGCCACCAAAGCATCCCTCCTTCCCTCCGTGACCTGCCCAGCCCGAGGCGTCCCTCCTTGCCCCGGCAGGGGCAAGGCTCTGTACAGGGCTGTCTCTGGGTGAGCACAACAGGGAGCAGCTTCGCCACGATGCAACAGCAAAGCAACCAGGAGGGCTGCGATAGTTGGCCATGGGCAGGGAGGTCGGGAGGGGAACTGGCAAAGGGCAGGATGGGGGAATACATGTGCATCAGACAGAGGAAGGAAGAAATGCTTGCTATAGATACAGAGAAAGACAGGAGCTGGATGATGAGAAAAGCTGTAGGATATCTACATTTGTCTCGATTTCTGACATTCCAGCTCACAGTGCAAACCACTTGGTACGTGCTGTGATAAGCCCAAATACAGCCTCAGCACCGGATTCCTGTGATGTTTTCCGACTGATTTACAGCTTCTTCCTCTGATTCTAACTGCTGTTAACAGATCAATGTTATCAGACAGCTTCACATAGGATGCATTCCTACACATTCCTCAAATGCCATGCCCTGAATCAGCTGGTATTCACCTTTTTTTACAGTAGAAAGAAAGAGTGCTCTGGCCTTCTAGGCTGTAGAATCACCTTCTGGTGCTACTCCTGATTTTGACTGGGCTGAAGTTTCAAAACTGGACCACACTACCCCTTCTCATTGTACGTCTACTCTAACACCAACTGCTTACGGATATCAGGCCCATGACTGTAAATGCCTGCACCATTTACATCCTGTAGCAGCATTTTACTACTGGGAGAGATTTAACTGAGAAGGCTGTGGGGGCTGGACTTGCACACAGCTAGGAGTGGGCGAACTTAAACCTTGCTCTTGTAACTGTCCTCCATCCCAACCTGTTACCCAGAAGCACATCAGAAACCACGCTAAAAGAGCTAGGTGTTATGGAGCAAATTCCACTCACCTCTACCAGGGAGTAGCTTCATGAGCACGGTGCGTTAGTTCCATTTTTTGCTGGTGCAACTGAGCCTGGGCATTGACCCATTGGTTTGCTTTGAAATGAAATGCACATTGGTGTCACTGAGAGAGAGAGGTTGAGTTTTGATTAATTACCAGACATATTTGTTGTGGCCACTAGTTTCTCTGCTGTTTTTAATGTCAGCTTAAATTTCTTAATTTTGCAAAGCCTGGATACAGTGGAAAAACATTTAAGATTATCAGATTGCTTGCAATCACTTTGATTTATTTGGCTAGTGTAAGAACTGGGCCATTTGTTTTCTACTTGTTTTACATGCCATGACCATGATGCTTTTGAAGCCATAACTGTGTGTTATGTCAATGGGCATTTACTTATTTTAAAACATAGATCCATCCACGAAGCTGTATGAGCTAAAATGGATGTACAAAACAGTTATCCCAGCAAAGGAATTGTTATGGCGAATAAAGAACCAGTGGCTCAGAAAGTTATTTCTCAACAATTTGCATTTTAAAATAAAAAATCCCCAGTATGGAATATTGCAATTTTGTTACTTCATTGTCTGAAATACTCCATAAGACCCTGACTGTCTCTCCACAAATGTGGTAGGCAATGAAGGGATGACAGACTACCTAAATCACGAAACATGCACATAGTTTTACTAGCCAGTCAGTTAAAAAAGAAGGCTGAAAACCAGAATACCAAATACTGCAAAAGATGAGAGTTGGACTAAGAATAGCTTTCTGGTCCCCCCCTTCCTCTGAAATGGCTTAAACATGACACAATCTCAGCATCATTATGCAAGGCAGCGACAGCTATCTGTGCGTGTGTTTACAAAAACCTTCAACGTTTGCTAGGGATCAAAGGGCTGATGGTTTTACATTTCCTACTGGCTTGAACATCCTAATTTCTTGTGCTCCATGACTCTGAAACTACAGCCTAGGGGCACCATGGCAGTGCATTTCTAAACTGGTTGTCCACCTCAGCGTGATGTGTCCAATGCATCCAGAGAGGATTTCGTCACTGTACGCTCACTTCACATTGTGCCTGGTTATTTTGTGCCTATATATTTAGGGGGGAAAATTGCAAAGTCATTTCATCAGACCTTTCTTTAAAAAAAAAAAAAAAAAAAAAAAAGGAAAACAAACCAAAACCATGCACTTCACACGTTTACATTGGTTTACAATTAAAAAAAAAATAAAAAAGGAAGCATACAGACATTCAAAAAGGGGGAGAGAGAGAGAGAAAAGAGAAGCAGGGGCAGGGGGGGAATGGGTGTAGCAATACTGATTCAAAACTGAAATGGAAGACAGTTTCTCCCTAGAACACTTTAGGGTTTTCAGAGTCCTTATTCCATAAAAGGAATATACTTGAAACACATCCCATTTAGGTGAGATGAGATTGCTAAAATACATACATAACTAAAAAAAAATGAGTCTTTTTTTTTTATCTGTTATCTCCTAAGGGTTTTTTTGTTTCTGTTTTACGTCTATTGCATAACAGCAAGAAACTTGCTTTCTTCTGCAAGTGAGGTCAACAAAGAGCTCATGTCCCCAATAGCCATGTTGGTTGTGCTTACGGGCATAGCTGGGAATGTAAGAGACGCTCGGGGAGTGGTGAGGCGTGAGGAATTGCGGGAGAGATTCTGAATGATACTTGGGCTCAGGGCTCCTGAAATTAAGCTGACATGATCCCCATCATCTATGATAGCATCGAAATCAATCTGCACACCCTCTAGGCTGCTGCTGTCAATGCTGTTAACTGTGCTCGACACTTGGTTAGCCCCCGGGGAAAGAAGCTCGGAGGAGTTTGTAGTCTCAGTCCCCTGCAGCAGGCAGTTCGCTTCCGAACCAAAGAAAGAACCTGTTTTCATAGCTTGGTGGCTAAAGCCCATGGTTTGGTCATATAACTGACCAGAGTAATTCTGCACGTTAGAGCAGAACTGCTGTGATTGACCTTGCATCTCCATCTTAATGGTGTTTACCCTGTACATCTGGTTGCCATCACTTACATGTCCTTGCTGTTGTGCCAGATTGTTTCTCAACATGTTTTGTCGTCTGTTGTCGCTGTAATTAGAGCATGGCTGGTAACTTTTGGCCACCAACAAACCTGAAGGCTGGCTACCAATGGTGTGAGACACCGATGGACAACCCTGCGGCCCTTGATACAGGCTGCTTTGTGAGGTAGGACTAACCTGCCCTAGCATCATTTGACTGGATTGATTGACTCCCTGGTAAGGAACACCATCTCCGACTGGTTGGTTTTGCAAATATTCCTGTTCCATCATATTCCTGTTCTGCATCCCATTTGTCATACCGGTGGCTTGATCACTGGTTGCCATGGGATGGCCAAAATTTTGCTGGTTTCCACTCACTGGCATGTTGCTGCTTCTCAGCTTCTGCCCTTGAACTGCCATGCCACAGGAATTGTCCATCGCCCCAGACATCATTGGTTGCCTGCCGATGCTTTCACTGTAAGGCTTATTGGGCTGCACGCTGAAAGAATTACCGGCTCCACCGCCAAGAAGCGTATTTTGCTGTAAACTGTAGGAACCGTTGTTTTCCACCAGGTTCTGACAGCCATTACGCTGGGCCACGTTGCTTCTCTCCAGGTTCTGCTGTTGAACCATCATATTGTTATACAGTCCGAAGGCCCGAGCCTGCTGCACCGCTGAGCGCTGACTGCATTTCAGTTTCGAAGGAGATAAGTCAGAACTTCCTGAGCTTACTTCATTCCACTGAATGGGCAAGTCACTCTTGTTTGCCTCGGAACCTGCCTGCTGACTGCTCTGTGGAGGGGCTTGGTCAAAGTTGCTCGGGTTGCTGTTTCCTGACACTGAGCTGGGATGCATTTTGTTGCTGTCTAGGACATTGTTCAGCAAGTGGTCGTACATGCTCTGGTTCTGGGAATTCAGATATTGAACCACGTCATCTGGCAGGAGATCCTCATCATTCAGGCTGCCACCCGCTTCCATTGTAGCAGCCTCCAGGGCGACATTCTCGCTGATGCTCGGAGGACAGGGGGAGCTGAAGCCACGGCAGATGCCACCCTCAGAACGGGTATAGTTCTGGAGAACAAGGCTGCGCTTTTCCATGGATGGAGGCAAAGCAGGCGGGTTAAAGCTATTAAGACTGTTGAAACGCTGGACTCTAGGGACAGAGAGGTTGTCAGAGGCCATTCTTACTGGATCACTGGCTCTCCTCATCCCATTTCCTAGAGCATCATGAGACAGAAAATGCCTCCTGCTGTAACCATTTGCCCCACCATCACTACATCTTCGAGGGGCATTCACTGGAGGCAGTGGAGATACTCCAGACTCCCTGCAATCACCCAAGAGTGCCATCCTTGTTTTGAGGCTCATCCTCTCCATGTTAGGCAGTGGAGTTGGTGGGGGTCCACCAGTAGCTGCTGCATATTTAGCTTTCAGCCTGTACTGCTGGGCCGGGGTGAGGCTGAGAAGACTTGGCAGGTCATCACACTGGCTCGCTTCACTGGAGCGCCGGGAGGCATCTGTCGAGATGGGGTCATAGGAGTCTGCAACACTCACGTTCTGTGGTCTTCCCTCCGCCTGGGAGGCAGTGCTGGACCTCCGGCTGGAGAAGCAAGGTGAGATTCCAGAGGATCTGCGGCTGCTCAAATAGGCTGAACTGATTGTGCTCGTATTGCTGTCCCTCCTGTTCAGCATGTTCAACACAGTGATGTCCGTACTTGAAAGTTCGTTCCTGTTCGGCAGAATAGTCATGGATCCTCCCACACTGCAGCTGCTGTTCGGCTGGATACCTGGAGGTAAAATTCACAGTTAAACAAATGGGCATCACCCAGAAATTGGTATAAAAAACATGCAGTAAACAAGTAAGGGGAGTATAGACAAAGAGCCTGCATCATCACAGCAGTGCTCTTTATTGAAAGAAGTACGGACAAAAACTGTGTCCTTAGGTTAAAAGCTAATTCAGAGGCTCAAGGATAACATTTCAGTGTGAATCCCAGCACAAAATTTATAGGCTATAGCCACAAACTGTCATCAGCTGGTGTAGTCCTCTGGCCTGCAGTGCAGCTATGTTGACTGATGTGCCAGAAGGACACATTCGTGAGGGAGCTTTTTATAGGCAAAATATAATTGAACAGGCATTTGCATGGAATGGCAAAATATACAAATTGGAGGCTATTCAAGGTCATTTCTAAGACTTCTTGAAATATTCTTGAAATAAGTCCTAACAACTGCAAAACATCTTTGCTGGTTTCCTTGTTTTGTTTTGTTTTTAAGTAAACAGAATAAATTTCTTAATTTGATTGAATGGGTTTCAGAAAACCTGGGCTGTCGCTGCTGAGTGGAGTGCAGAAACCTATGGGCATGCTGTAGGCAATGTAGAGACAGCAGGGACATACAATTTGGCAATGAGCAGCTCCTTGGACAAAAACAACTACGGATGTTCCGGGTTCAATCTTGCCTTGCTTCCATTCATGGATATCTGCCCTTTGTAGCAGTAGCATCTGTAGACATGACTACTTATCTGTGAGGAAACAGTTTATTTAAAGGGCAGCACCTCTGTGGAAAAGGTGCCTTGTTAAGGCCTCATCTGAAAGACTTCCATACAATAACCTGGCAGGTATTTATTTCATCTGCCTTGCCTCAAAAAACAGGACAGGATGATGATGATCTTGGGTCCAAACTTTTAACTGTATGGAATACTTCAAACATGATCCACAGTTCTCTTGCTGGCCCCCATTCTACAAAACATGGGACAATCTGTGCAAGGTCCTGCACACGGGTCAGGGCAATCCCAAGCACAGACTGGGAGGAGAATGGATGGAGAGCAGCCCTGAGGAGAAGGACTTGGGGGTGCTGGTTGATGAGAAGCTCAACATGAGCTGGCAGTGTGCACTGGCAGCCCAGAAAGCCAGTCGTGTCCTGGGCTGCATCAAAAAAAGCGTGACCAGCAGGCTGAGGGAGGTGATTCTCCCCCTCTTCTCCGCTCTCTTGAGACCCCACCTGGAGTACTGCATCCAGCTCTGGGGTCCTCAGCACAGGGAAGACATGGACCTGTTGGAGTGAGTTCAGAGGAGGGCCATGAAGATGGTCAGAGGGCTGGAGCACCTCCCCTATGAGGACAGGATGAGAGAGTTGGGGTTGTTCAGCCTGGAGAAGAGAAGGCTCTGGGGAGAGACCTTAGAGCTGCCTTCCAGTACCTGAAGGGGGCTACATGAGAGACGGGGAGGGACTCTTTATCAGGGAAAGTAGCGATGAGGGCTAACAGTTTTAATCTGAAAGAGGGTAGATTTAGATTAGCTATTAGGAAGAAATTTTTCACTGTGAGGGTGGTGAGACACTGGAACAGGTTGCCCAGAGAAGCTGTGGATGCCCCATCCCTGGAGAGGTTCAAGGCCAGGCTGGATGAGGCTTTGAGCAACCTGGGCTAGTGGGAGGTGTCCCTGCCCATGGCAGGGGGGTTGGAACTCAATGACATTTAAGGTCCCTTTCAGCCCAAACCATTCTGTGATTCTATGATTCTAAGATTCTATGATTCTATGATTCTATGATTCTATGATTTGACTTCTCTGTGAGCAGGTAGTAAGTGTTTTAATGAGGGAATAAACAAAAAGTGATCAATTTACAAACCATTCTCACAGCTGCTGAGTTCATAAACTGCACTACTGTTTTGCAAGGGTTGCAAGATTGTGCTAGCAAGCAACGACTTTAAGGATAAAAATTGTTACCACTCTCACCATTTCCCATGAGAGGCGGCAAAGTTGGGGCTTTGGAAGGTGGAACGGGGTTCAGTCTTGGAAGCATTCCATTAACTTGTTTCAACCTTTCTAATTTCACTTGCTCCATCCATTTGGTCCCTGTCATATTCCTCCTGGCCTGTAAGCCAAGTGCTGTGGTGGCTGTGGAAATGGTAGAGTCCATGATTGGGGTTTCATCGATGACACTGAGGTCTCCTACACTACCGCCACCGGTCAGAGTAAGCTCGATCCCATTGTTGGAATAGTTGCTGATGGGGGACTGTTCGCTGCTGCATGTAGACTGACCACCAGGGCTTGGCTGAGATGTCTGTTGGAGTGAAATAAGAAACAAAAGAACAAGAGGATTAAGCAAAAAATGTTACGAAGAGCACTTGCAGCAAATGCAGGTCTAAATGGAGCTAAAGAAAACCAAATTTAAAATTCGAGATTAAAATCCACTTTAATATCTTACTGATAGTATTCATTATATCTACATGAGACATTTGTTTCAGTTATTCCCATAATTGCTTCTATCACCTCATGTCATCCATGAGCATGTATGTACAGATATTTTATTCTGGGTATGTGCTGTTCCCAATATTCTGAGTATGCACTGTTCCCAACTGAGGTTGCAGCTCAATAAACCAAGTCAGAATTCAGCCATGTTACAAGGTCTAATTTACACTGCCAGGCTTGCAGCAAGCAAACAAACAAACAAGACTCCAACAACATTGGAATTTGTTTTTTTTTCATTAGACTTGTGGCTAAAGAATGTAAGTATTTTCCACGCTTAAGGCTCATTGTTATGAGCAGCGGTTGGCCTGAAATGTTGGCATGTAATAAAACAGGGACAAAGCATCAGGGCAAAAATACTGTATCATATTATCTGCGTCCTGTGACTCTAACAGCACACTCTAACTTAATACCATCTCTGCCTTGAATCAAGAAGGCGGTGATCTACTGAATCAAAGCCTCTGTTTCATTAGAATTTAAGAATTTAAATTTAAGAATTTAAGTCCACAGTATAGGTTGCTACTCTATGGGGATATAAACCACTGCAAAAGCTTATTCTTTCTTAGCAGTGTTCCCCGCTGCTCTAGCAGAATTCTTGCTGTGGGGAAACACGTTCTTGATTTATTTTTTATACTCATAAAGTTCTTGTAAAAGAATGGGAAAATTTCTCTGACAAACTGAAACACTCAGACAGATAGAGTGACAGACAAAACAGACAGCAGGACAGACAGAAGTCTCTGGATGCAATACCTTAATGTAGGTTGTCAGTCTGATCACAAATCTGTGAGGCATGCAGCATCGTTTTGCTCCCAAGAACAGTTTCATGTAAGTATTTCACTTTGGGGGTTTTTCTTGGGTACTTTTTTCTTTTTCCTGACAGCCTGTGATTTTTTTGCACATTTTACCGATGAATGCTGGCTAGAATTTCTGAGGTAGCAGTGACAGCTCCCACTCTTAACATCAGTGAATGAAGGCACAGATTCATGGCAATACTGTAGCTTCATGTGCCCCTGAGGAGCCCATTAAGATGCGATAACTATTTTATTATTTCTAACTGGAACGATGATACTTAGAATTTGTGAGGCCACACTGAGCAAGTTCATTTTGAAGTCCTGGCCATGGCAGATTTGGTGACAAGAATTGAAATAATTGTTATTACACACAGGAGAGCATTTGTGCTTCTGGACAATAGCTCCATGCCATACGGAAGAAGAGTACTAATGGTCAGAAGCCTGTTCTTGTAGCCATGTGTCAAGATCACAGTGAGGTAGGTTACAGAAGAACTGTATTGTGGGGAACATACATTTCTAGATGTGCAATACAGAAAAAAAATGGATGTCTCATCTAGAGGGGAAGGTACAAAGACATTTCTGAAGACATTTCACCAATATAATCCAGATTTTTCACATGTCAAGTGTTGCAAAATGCTCACAGCACGTTATGTTTAGAAATGAGTTTGATGGATTGCACATTACTAAATAAAGGAATGATTGGACAACAGGCAGAAGGCTAAAACAAAGACATAAATAATGTTGCAATAAGAAAAACAGCAGAAAAGTTAAAATGCCCTCACCTTATTACCCACTGTCCTTAGGAAGTTAGAACAAGCCATTTAAGAGCATTAGACAGAAAAGACATCGGATTAGTTGAAAAACAGAAAACGTAACTTACTTCATACAAGCAGTGAAAAGCAGAAGATACAAAATCGGTTTTAGAAGATATTTTTTCAGTGAGAAATATTTAATACTATGTAAGCAATCAGCATCCATACCCCTCTCCTGCAAATTTTATTCATGGTAACACCATCTATGCTCAACATGCCTCAATAATGCTACAGATGTACCTAGCTAAGCAAGAGGGGAATGGGTTTTGTTCCTTTTAACCTAGGGTAGTTATCACCACAGATGGCAGAGGATCTCTTTTAGACTTCAGTTAGAATTAACTCTGGGCCCTTGGAAGTTTCTAAATTCAGGATTAATACTCCACAGGCTGGGCATAAGCCTTAGGCACAATATAGCAGTGACTCGTATTTCAATGAGTAATCACTTTGAATTGCAGCGTGATTAACACTATGTGCAGAATTTGGAGGGCTCATATTTGTAGTCCCTAAGGGTTAGGTCCAGATGAATCGTAGACCCAGATGTGGAAGAGGATGGAGTGACTGCCTTTTCTAGTTTTAACCATCATGGAGAGGATACATGGCACAGGAAATGCAAGCAAACGAAAGAAGAACTTCTTTGTTTAAGATGGCACATCAAAAAATGGAATAAGGTCCTTTCAACATTCAAGGCTATACTGATTTAATGCCATACATTAAGGTAACGCAGTGAAAAGACCTGCAGAGACTCTTAATTCAGCTCAATTTAGTTAAATGGGAATTAGGTTAATTTGGTCAAGTTAAATTAAGTATCAGATTAACATAAAAGGTCACACCAGAATAGAGATCAAATGTTATCAGAAGATCTCCTCCTGCTGTTTAAGAAAGTCAATTTATCCTGCTTCAGTTTGATCCACGACCCAACAACCTCAAGCCCCTAAAATCTGATATTTCCGCAGGTTCTTTAAAAATTATCATTATCTATATCACCATTTTAGTCTTTTGGACTTGGGTTTTTTCACATTCTAGTTTTGAGCCTGCAGGATTCACATTTTCTAACTTTCTTCTGTAAACAGGAAAAAATGCCTTCTTAAAAATGAAAGCTGTGATTTTCTCATAATATCCTGATTCCGAAAGACGGAGCTTTAAAAGAAACAATTATTGTGAGAGTTGCCAACACTGCAATTACTGCATACTGCACAGACTAGATGTAATTGTTTTATTTGCTATTTCTCAGGCTTTAAAAACATTTTACAATGTAAACAAAAAAGAAAACCTCACAAAACCCAACCTTGTGAGCTGGAGTTTACGGGCTTGAGCATTTCATAAAGGGATTATTAACCGGTTGCAAGAAGAAAAAGGACAAAGTGAGTGGCACAGTGTATTGCATACCATTGGTTTTTCTGACTTGACTGCTTTCACTTGGAGGCATTCTTCACGCTTTGAGGTAGTGTTGCTGAGGTCCTTCTGCTCACCAATTGCACCCTGAGTCTGATGGCCTGGTGACCGGGTCTGAGTGTGGCTGCCTGGGTCTCTCGGTGGTGGAGGCCTCGGGTGGATATCTCCCCGTTGTTTCTTGGTGACGTGTGCCTCCGGGCCATGCACGGTCTTCACATGTTTCCGGAGAGAACTGGGGTCTGTGTAGCGCTTTGTGCAGCCTGGTATCTTGCAAACATACGGTTTCTGCCAAGACAGGAGAAACACTTAAATTAGATTTAACTCCACATTGCACTCCTGAAGAGCTTCTTGGAGCACAGCTGGTGTTACAGTTACACGCTTTCACAGTCAATCTGTTATCTAATTTATGGTCCCTACAGTGACCACACCTAGTCAAACCTATTGATTCCCCTTGTTTTTGAAGATACCCATTAATGCTGCATCATTTTACAGAGGGCAGAGCCCCTCATGATGAGAACTGGCACAGCTTTGACTTATTATTACAGAAGAGTCAACAGAGCTATGGCAATTTATGAAGACTGGCCTCATTTTCTATCCTGTCCATTGCCGATTTCTAGTACGCCCAGTACCTACTTCTTGACACTCAGAGGCAAACAACCCCCTTCAAAACAGGCAGGATTATCTGAGGAAGCATTTTTTTCGAGCCTCCTTCAGATCACCAGAATAACGTCAAAGCACAGGATTCAGTCCTGTAAGCATTTCCACATTGCAGCAATATATGCACTAGTACTATCACTGCACTGGTGCTTAAAACCACTTTCCTTTGTTTGTGAATTTCTCTAGTTCTCTAAGCAACAACAAAGTAAATTTACTGTTTTGTAATTTCACGGAGACTTTCTTTGTTCTTGTATTATGAGACGATTAGAAAGAAAGAGTTGAGCCCTTCCTAAACACTTTAATTGCCTCAGGAAACAACGTATCATTCATTCACTTTTGTTACGGAATTGTTTTCAAGAAACTACTATTTTTAAGTCTTACTTGTACTAGTCCCCAAGAAAAAAAAAAAAGAGCTCCTCATGCAGATTTCCTCAAATGGGTTCTGTGTGCTTACACAGGACACTGCAGAGCCTTTGACAAATGCAGCTTCGTAATGGCTATCTAAGGCCTAAGTCTGCTTCCACCGACATCAGCCTGAAAAAACTCCCCTTGACTTGAACAGGAGCAAAAATGTCTACTGTGAGCAACTTAAAAGTTGATAGTGAGCTACTAAGGCAGGCTTTCTCAAGATGCTATGCAAGTACAAATCAACTAGCTCTCTTCTAAATACATAGAGGGCAGATCTGCACCAAGATGTCTCAGCTGCTTTTAAATCTGTGTGCAGGTTACCTACTGAGAACCAAAATGGCACTGCGGGGAAGTGCTGAATTGGGTCTGTGCATCCCACAGTATTCATGGCACTACATCAGTATACACTGCTTAAGAGTATAACCCTGCTTCATTGGGAAGTTACGGTGAAGGAAATTTTTCATTTGACTTGGCTTCTGCAACCACCAGAAATGATGTGCAGTAGAAAAAAAAAATGGTGACCTACTGTTAGACATGAAATTCTGATCTTAAAACAACAGGGAGTCCGGGTCATGTCTGGAAGTTTGTGAGCATCTTACTCATCAACTAGGCAACAGATTGTTTCAGACAGTGAATGAAATGAAAGCTCAGTGAGCTACTGGCAAGACTTTGATGAACTTCTTTCTACCTTAGTGACAACTCACAAAATTGCTGCTGGGCTTCAATGGAGTTGTTGGGCTGCTGAAAGCACACACTGCAGGGAGGAGGTGAACTCAGAGATGTGCAACACTCACTGCTTCGTTTGTGACTCAAGAGATGCTGCAGGGACCAGGAGACTGGAAGAAGATGAATGCTCCCAGGAGATTTTGCCAACCCTAGCGAATGCCTGCGATGGACATGACAGACAGCTAGAGAAGGATACAAGCCTCCTGGAAATGGATATGGCTGCTATGGTTTCCACACCACACAGTCACCATCCTGGTATGTCCTGCCCTTCCAGTACTTCCAGGTTTAGACTAGAGGTGAAGAGGTATAGGGACAGGTCAAGGAGCAGAGACTTGGCTCCAAGATGTGAGACTGAGGTGTTGTGACTCCCTGTGTAACCTGAAATGGGGCAATAAAACAGGGACAAGGCATGAAGATGGTGTGATTCCTGATAAGAGTGCGCAGCAGTAACAGGAAACACACATTAACAAAGAGGTGTTGCACTGAGAGTTTGGGAGATGGCTGTGACTGCTACAGCTGGTTTGCTTGAGAAGCACCAAATTCCCTCCACTGCATCCCCACCTCATGAGGTCTGTTCAGGATGGAAAGAAAGAGCCAAACAGCCCAGAGAAGGAGAAAAAGGCATAACTCAGAACTCAGAAGGCAACCCAAATTTTCCAGATCCTGGAGCCTTCTCGCTAGCTGTCTGCAGCAGCCAGAAAGGACAGCGCAGGATGCTGCGGGAGCTGCGGCTCAGCAGCCGCCAGGTGTCACCACTGACCCCGGCATGGGGACGCGCTCTGGGCGCTGGACCAGCCTCCCTAGCTCCGGAGGGAAAAACGATCCCAGCTTTTCAAGGAAACCTGGATCTGCCCCTGGTCAATGTGCGTGTTTCCATCAGACCCCTCCTTCAAACCTCTCTTACACTTAATAAAATGACTCGCAGCCTCTCTCGGTCTGTGTGACACAGGAAGGACTGTGCTGGTAAGAGCCATCTAGAACATATTCTCTTTTCAGGTTGATGAGGATTTCTGTGCCTGACCTCTGTAATAAACTGCTATGATCACATTGTGAGTCTGTTTGATGCCGAATTTTATTATTTTTCTGAAGCTGTGCTTACTTACCTCATTGGAATGAGTCCTGTTTTGGTGCTTGGCCCTGTCAGACGCGTTGGAGAAAGCTTTGTTGCAGCCTTCGTGTTCGCACACATATGGTTTCTCTCCAGTGTGAGATCTCAAGTGCGTTTTCAAGTTTTCTAGTCTGGAGTAGGCCTTTGTACAACCTTCAAACTGAAGACAAGAAGTCAGTCTGTATTAATTTTAATCTTTGGACTTGCAGGAAACAGTAAAAGCCGACCTATAAAAGTTTAGAAACTTTCCAAGCCTTCATAACCGTGCCCAATGTAATTTTGTTTTGATTTGTTTGATTTTAATTTTACCCAGGCAAACCCCATCACAGCTCAAGTTAAAATGCTTCCAGCATTACGTAAATCTTCTCTTACAGGAGAGCAGAGTATTTGTGTACTTTGTCTAAGAAAGAAATCCATTGCAAAGTCATTAGAGGCTGGTGGCCAGCAATAATACCCAGCTCTCTCAGAGAAAGTGCTTTTAAATAATTAAGCAAACTCAGCCCTGTTTAATAATGCCTTTTGGGGCTTCTTTGCACTTTAAACTTGAGGAAGTGGGCCAAATTATTAAGTGAATCCCCTCTCCTAAAGCTCTTGTCATCTGGGCAAGCTTAACGAAGCAGACATAGTAGTCTCTTGTCCAACAAATGTCCGATGGACAAGAAATCAGAGAATGCGGCATCTGTGCCGCTCTATTCCCGGCACAGCCCCCACTCCCCCGTCCAAGTCTGGAGCTCAGTCCCCTTTACTCACAGTGCATTTGTGTGGCTTTTCCCCCGTATGTCTCCTCATGTGGACCACCAGCATATACTGGGCTTTGAATGGTTTCTGCTCACGGGAACAGTCCAGCCATCGGCATACAAACTCTTTCTTCTCACCATGTATATGGTCATTGTTTATATGCTGTTGGGGTAGAAGAGAGATTAAAGCTTAACAGAAATGTAACATCGTCATCAGCCTTACTGTATCTTCACATTGGAACAGCACCGGGGCTCGGGTGTGAGCCAGGATCCTGACAGACTGAAAGAGTAAGATTGTCTGTGCTCCAAAGCGATCACAGGGTTCAAATTATACATCTCATTGGAAGTCCACTAAAGCCCACGAATTTGTTTCTACTGACATCAACAGGGACTGGACCAGGTCTGGATAACGGATCCTGCATAACCTCATGCATGGCACCACTTGTGTGATTCACTGAGTACTGCTTTCTTGGATCAGGGAAATCTTACTTCAGTGCCACTAAACCCAAACAAGGTTTACAAAACCAGGCCTTTAAAAACACGTCCTCCAACCTGAAAAATCAACAGAACTGCTAAACCAAGTTTCCACCAAACTTTTTAACTAACTCCCCACTACCCATATTTTCTTTCAGCAAATGTATTGGGTTAGTGTACATGTTGTGGCAGAGGAAACAAAACCCTACACATTGCAGTAACAAAAAACTCTGGAGGACAGAAGCATTCATCAAGCCAGCTTTTGCCATTGCCAAGTACAGCTCCGCCTGAAAGGCTCTGGGAGCGACACCTGACCTGGGCTAGTTGGCACACACGCACGTGTCTTGCTGCGGTCACTGTCATCGGTGTGAGTGTATCCAGAGACAGCCAGGGGCTGCGTACCTTTTACTCTTCCAGAAAAGCAGCTTGTTCCATTCCCTTTAGTAAGATCCCACTCAGCAGAGAATTTAAATACAGATTTAAGTCTCACTGATTGTGTTTCCGAGCAGAAACGGGCAGATGAATCAGGGCCAGCCTCAAGTTTTGGGTTTTTTTTCTCAAGTTTTAGCTGTTTGAATTTTTTTGCACAGCTTCAGAAAGCAAGAAAAGCAGCCTATGCCTGGACTTTCGAAGGTTTATGAAGGCTTGCATTTCAGCAGGCGCTGCCTGACTCATCCTCCCGGACTCTTGGAGAAAGCCTGCCTCAGAGACTTCACCGTTGCTGTACTTTCTACCACAGCTTGCTAGCTGTGCCACTAGATGGCTGCATTTCTCAGGGAATGGGATTATTTCCATCACGGTATGAGAAAAATTCCTTCCAGAGCTCATACTTGTTTGTAGCACAGGGATTAAACCTCTATCTGCTCTGTAAGTAGCTCACAGAAAAAGTCAGCCATACAGAAACTCAGTAGTTCATACTGGAACACAAAGAAGATAATCCCCATATTTTTCTAAAGTCCTGAAAACAATGAGAAAACCAAATAAAATCACTTATGTTCACAATTATATGGCATAGCCATGGCAAACAGATGTGTGCTGCCTATAAAAGATGACTGCCCTTTTTCTCTTTCTGAAACTTTATTGCCATTTCTTAAAAGTTGTGATGGGGCGCAGACCGCGGGAACAGAGCAGATGTGCTGGACAACGTACAACACGCGATCTGCAGGAGTTTGTGCTTTGAGTGCAGATTTCTAGTCCATTTGTACTACCCAGGCCTGTACCAAAAGCATACAGATACCCTGCGCTGTGAAATGGCATCAGAAGAGTACAATGAGGTTAATGGGCACTCTTCTTTCCTGAAAGAGAAAGAAGTAATGGGACAAAACTCAATGCATTGAAGTAATTCTTGGACAAATCTTTCTGTAAACATTACAGACTGTGAGTTATTTGGTTAAACCTACATGGCCAAGAGGGAAATGAAAACTGAGTGTGTGACACATGCTTTCCATTGGACACAAAAAATTTAAGGCTGGTTCAATCAGTTCACAACAGCACCTCCCTTCGCCTCCCGCTGTGTGGACACTCAGGCACCATGGATGCTCTTTCAGAAAAATTCTCCACAGGACACTGTTTCTCTTTGTCCCTGCAAATGAGCTTGCTTCTTGCTCCAGACCTCTAGCCTTTATCAGTGTGAGCATCCTGGCCTTTCTCATGGCTGTAAAACTCCCTTCCTTGCTCCCTCCCCAGGCCAGGCTCACAGCAGCAGCTGACAAAGCTTGCCCAGGATGGTGACTCAATCATTTGCCTCTCTACATCACTCCACTGGCTCATCTGTCAGGTACCTCGTGATCACCCTCAGGTCACTGCACAACTGCATCCCTCTGTACTCGTCTGTCCCGCTCTCTTATCCTGTCCCTCCTTTCCTACTCCCTCTGCTCTTCCTACGACCAAACTCCTCTTTGTGCTGTTTTCCCTCATGGCTCTGATGCTCTGAGTGGCCTCTGAGAGCTCACCTGCAAAGCCAACTCATTCTCATTCAGTGCCTCTGAGGATCCTCACCAGCAGGTAAAGCCTAGGAGAAATGAGCCCATGACATCTTCTCAGATGAGATGCTCCATTGCTTTTTGCAGAGGGGTGATATTTTAGCAGACTTATAAATGCGCCCAAATACTGGAATGCTGGTCTGGTAGAAGACGTTTGCTAGACATTAAATCAGCACAAGTAAAAGACCAACAACCAACAGGAGAAGCCAGCAGCGCTCTCAGGCAAGGAGATTCACAGCATTTGTAATCCTGACCATGGAGGGCCAGATTCAGCTGCCCTCACCCACTCAAGATCTGAAAACTGATCCATCATCTGCTACAGACATGCAGGCAGAACTAAAGAAAAACAAAATGGGAACTAAATCTACACTGGGATTTTTTATCATTATCATTTGGCAGAAACAACGTGCAAAATTTATGACACGTTTGAAGGAAGAGGGAGGTCTCACTGTGCAAACAACGGCTATTAGAAAAGTTCATAAATTTGTGAACTCTGGCATTCACGTTCTTTGACTCAGATAATTACCTTTGGATTTTGCACGGTGTTTTTGGCTCCCTGGTCTCTATTATGAGAGTGAATGAATAGTTTTGAGCTTGTAAAACAAAGAACAGTCAGGAATAAGAGTATTATGCAAAGCAGAAGCCTTGGTACAGTACAATAAGGATTTATAGGGTTTCAATTTATAATCTGTTTGTAACCTTATTACACCCATGAAATGTCACATTCCAGGGACTAGATCAGAAGGATTTTTTTTTTCCTGGTGAAATTGAATTTTGATGCAGTTTCAGGCTGTGAAAAGGCTTTTCTTTTTAATTTTGTAGGCCCAAACCTGCAAGTTTTACTTACATTGGTAATCCTTATTACAGTAAATAGGCGCATGAAAGCCAATGATATTACTCCCTAGTGTCAGTTTTTCTAACATAAGGCTCTGAAGCACCAGCTCTGTATTATTAAGAATTTCTGACCTGAAAAAAAAAAAAAAGCCCCCATTAAAAGCTGGAATTCTACTAGCTATCTCCCATTGCACACAGCTCCAAAAAGCTGCTAAACAGGGGTCATTTGCAGAATACCAGTCACTTTCATGCCACTTGAATGCTCATTACCAAACCTCAGTCCGTCCTGGCTCATTTTCTTTTCTTTAAAAAAAATGTCGCTATTATCATTTGGCTCCAAAATACCCTAAAAAAAGAGGGAACTGACCTAAATACTGATTTTGGTCTCAGAACGTCCTGGCTTTGAAGGAGGAAGCTCCGAGATGGATTTCAATTCCAGAGAAATAAAAGCCACCAAATTCATCGAAATCAAGGCTGAAGTTGGCCTGTTATCTCTACTGGGGAAACTCAAAAAAACCAAGGTAACAAGGAGCACAACCTGCAGTGTCCTGGAAGCATAAACGCTCACATGGTAAGAAATACTATTTTAAAAGGGAACACCTTATATAATCAATGCACACCATACGTGGAACTCCCTCTTGTAGCAGAGACATGAGGTGATATTGGAGGTAGGATCTGTGACAATCTTAGTGTTCCATTTCCCTTCTCCACATTGTTTTAGAAGAAAGGAGTATCTAAGCATATCATAGCTGATTGCTTGGTACCCTTTAGCTATTCAATACATAAACAAAGGCCAAATGTGCTCTCTCAGTAGTCAAACAGCAGGAGGAAAGCCCCTTCATACCAGTGGAATGAGCTAGGAACAACACAAAAAGAATGACTGTCACCTGCAACTGAGATTGCATCTGAAAGCAAAGTGTTATTTGGTGGATAAAGTAGAAAACATCAGGAAAATCTGATTGTGCTTTCTAACCTAGCCACACTACCCTAGCATATGCTAGGAGAAAACTGGGAACAGACCATGCTGTATTGGGGCAATGTGGGAAGTTGGTGGCACAGCGGAAGGCATATCACCATTGTCAAAAATTGGTTTAATTTCAATTATACAAGTTCTTTTTCTTGTCTCACAGTTATTTGCCTGTATTTGAAAAATTTAAAAAGGAGGTGCTAAATAACTTCTCAATAAGTCTCACCACTGACATCAAGCAGAAGCAGCATTTAAGCGATCTTCTAGCACAAATCTCCCTCTGGACTGTCCTGCCACAGAAAGTCCCTCAAACCAGCAGAGCATTTGCTGCACAGGAGACAAAGTGTGAATGGCGAAGAGGCGTTGCCGTGGAACGGCTGCTCAACAGACAAAGTGTGAATGGCAAAGAGGCATCGTGGTGGAAAGGCTGCTAAACACATCCTGCAGCTGCACAAGGGAGGCCGGGAGCCCATGGGCTGCAGAGAGGAAATGTGCAGAGATTGGGTCCAGCAGTAACAGACTGGATAGCTCTGAGACTGGTTTGTCCCTGACCTGCAAGTACTGCAGGGAATGCTTCTTTATGTGTTTTGCATAGGAGATGTTGATTTGTCCTTAAGCCCACATACAGCTAGAAACAGGAGGAGGGATCCTGGCCACCAGGCCCACCCCTCGCTGTAGCAAACCCTGCTACACATAATCCCAGTCACGAATGGAGCAAGCTCTATCTTCCCAGCGCATTGGTGATCTGCTCCCTCTGCTCCCAGCGGATGGCTCTTCTAGGAACTCACTCCTTTGCTGGTTAGCAACTAATTTCTACCTTCAATTTATGCACAGCTGATTTATATTCATTTGTTCTTGTGCCAACACTAACTTTCAGCTTAACCAGCTCTCCTTCCCTGCACAGTG